TTTATATGGTTATTATTCATAAAAATGTGAACAGTAAGTTAATATCACATTTGAAAATAACATTTTCTTGATAATTCTGTAATTCATACATTACATTATTATGAGACATGGTTATGAGTTTTCATTATATTAGAGAATGTTTTATTTTATGTTATTTAGTAATAAAAATTGCATACAAATTAAGAAATATAATATATAATAATAGTATCCATTATATTTTTGTTGCAAATAAAGGTAATGTAATCACATATACAACTGTTTGATATATGTACAATGAAACATATATTACAAAGAATAATTCAATGTGGTATAAAAATTTTATTATAGGTATATTTCACAAAGAAAAATATAAATTTTTATATAAAAAAAGTAAAAGTATATCATAGAACAAAAATTATATTGATGCTTCGTTCAATGTGATGTCCCAAAATATAATATATATTATATAATAAAATGAACATTTCACATCTATTTCGTTATTTCTATATTAGAGAAACATTTAAAAAAAAAAATAAACGAATATCATTAAGATACAGGAATAAATGAATCATACAATTCACAATTGATTTACTTATAAAACATAATAAAAAATGATCTATTAATACTAATAAATAACAAAACCAGCTATTCTAAAAAGGTATATATGTTATGTATATTAAGGAAATTACAATATATTTATAATTTGTAAACATAATTAATTATATAATAAATGATTAGACAAAAAAATATACGATATATCTAACATTGAAAATATATTTAAATCATAACTAATATAAATATATTTATAATATAAACAAAAAATGAAATATAATTATAAATTTATATGTACAAAAGTGCAGTCTATTATAAAATAATATTAACTACAACTATTATTCTTATAGGATATCATAAAATATAATTCAATTGAATACTTCATTTATAAAAGTGCAAAATATATATAAAAATAAAAAAGTCTGTGAAAAAAAATATAAATCCTAAACATTGAAAGTTAGAACCAAAAAACAAAAACGAAAATTTAAATACGTTAATTTAAATTATGTTAATTTTAACACTAATCTTGTATATATGTTTCAAAAACAGTGAAAAAAAAATAATATGTATTACTGGGATGTTGTTTAATATATTCGTGTTCAATATAATAATATTGAACTTTTTTAATATTAATAAAATCCTCCATGTTGATGGAAAGAAAAAGATATCTGCATTTAGGAGATGATCATGGAATATTTAGTACTATGTAGTATGATAGATAACTCCATTGAGGTACGCATAATCACTTTTCTCTCTAAGTACAAAAATTTCTAACAAATAATTAAAATTATCACACATATATTCCTTCAAATTTATGGATGTCATGAGTTAACGCATGTAACATATAGGTTTTAAGAGTTTGTCTATGTGAGGCTAAATATCATAATAACTTTTTAATACTGTATGTACATTTTCCTGCTGTATATAATAACATGTTTTTTTCTTATGAAACCAGTAATTTATAAAAAGCACTAGAAGAAAACTTTGATTGAAAATTTTCCTACGAAATAAAATGAGATGATGCATTATACTATAGATGTATATTTAAACCAATATGGTTTATATCATTTACCTATATCAAGGAAATAATATAAATATATAATAAGAATTATATTATTAAGCCTAAAATAAAAATTACCATTATGATTATATTTTTCCTAATAATAATATATTAGATGAAAAAAAATTATTAATATATTTATAAATATGTTATAATTATATATAAATTTATATAAAACAAGTACATCATAACTAACCATTTAAATTGTATTATTTAAATAGTCCATCATGCTATAGTATTTATCTCTTGGTATTATTCGTCCAGATATTATTATTATTATTAATAATTTGTAAATACATATCTCCTGATCACATATATATTGAAAAAAATATATATATATTTGTTTTAATAAAAAATATGAATTCATTTATTTTCGCTACTGAATAAAATACCTAAGGAGAATATAAATTAAATTATTTTTACCTTATAATAATATATATTTAATTATTAACGTTTTGATATTATTCAACACATTATGTATATATATGTTGGATAAATATATGCACTCAATATATAAATGAACATATCATATATCAGGGAAATCCTATTTTTTGTATAAAATTCTTGTTTTCTTGCTTTTACAATTAATTTATA